GGGAGGTAGTGATTAGCAGACAGGGAATAATTCAAGAATGGTAAATCGTATAATAAATAGTTCATAGGTCAAAATAAAACTCATAATAACAGAGACATGAATATGAACAGTTTATTTACACAACAATTATACGATAAAAATATACTCATAGTATTGTTCCATAAATGGATCCCAAAAATTACCATTCATTATTCAGATCGGGGTATAACACCTAGATTGTGAATACTGTACTGAACACTAAAAGCCAAACCTTTAATGTCACATAAATCTTGGTTTTCTAAACGACATAGACTATTATTTATTATTCTTATTAAAAAGAAAGAACTTCATAACAAAATTGTTCTATATGCTTGCTAAGATAATTAGGAAAGTAATTCCATGAAAATCATGTTCAAACTAGCATTATTATTATTATATTCATAACAATTAACATTTGATTTAGTATTAGTTGTCAAAGTTTATTCGATTCTAATATCAGAACAGAGAAAACAATAACTTAGAGAACTATATCCTGACTATTTTATTATTATAAGAAAACGAGTTCAAACTAGAACGAATGATTAGTATACGTTGAATAAGTCAATTGAATGAATCATGTGTATTCAGCTCAATAATAAAACAGATTTTATAGTTTTTATAAATGTAAATTATAAATAACATATGAAATCAATCAGTTATAATCCTTATCAGTATGAGGTTGTGGAGATTAGTAAGTATTTGATTGAGATCGTGAACTGATTGATGTTAGACCACCATCAAAAACCTGGAAGAAATGAAAGACCGTTTCATTCTATTGTTGGACTCTTCAGCAGTGAGCATCCGCGATCCAACCCCGTGGGATTCAAGCATAGGGCCTGTGATCTCGCGCGCGAACACTTAACCTCTAGACCACTGAGCTGATCGGCATCCAAAGGTGTTAATGTCTAACTTCAACAAATACACGAAATCGCTCGACCATCTCTCATTGTACTGAGGTAGATACCTCTCTGCCCGACACGGATTAGCTTTACTGATCTCGGCTTCTTACTAGAACTCTGAGAATCTTTTGAAGAAGCTAGTCACTAGTGAGCACGAATCCAGCGAGAGGAATCGTGGATGTGCATTGCTGAGGAGTCCAACAATAGGACTAAACGGCCGTCCAGTGCTTCCAGGTTTTCAGTAGTGGTATAACATCAATCGGTCCACGATCTCAATCACAAAAATTATAATCCTTGCAAAACTTGGTAAGTATGTGTATTTGTTCGAGTTGCCATAACAAATCATCGAAAAAGAAAGGTAAATCATCAGTGACAAATATCAGAGTATTAGATGTAGTAATCATAACAGCGATAGTTGAAAAGACGAAGCATAAGTGATATGATTCCAGAGGAAATAATGAATTCACGGAATAAAAAGTATAAGATAATTTTAAAATTCAACACCTAATATAAATAACGAGTGATTGCAACTGAGCTATTATCATCGATTCTGAGTTATGTCACTAATTGTTTTAATCAGTTAGTTATGATAATTGTGAGAAACCTAATCTGGTAATCTGTACCCACCTACATAGTTCATCCTAACGGTTATAGACTTTTGAACTACTTACTACTATTTACTTACATGGATAGCATAAGCTTCTTCAATATTGACGATATGCCTTGTCAACAAATGTTAATTAACATGGAACTTAGGTTTAGTTCTTTATGTATAATAAATCAGAGTAATTGAACTTACATGTTGATTGATTTGAATCAACTTTTGGATAACTATACAAATCGGTTTACGGACATACTTTTAGAAATTGTACGATTCATGTAATCACTACAACATACTTGAAAAGAACAAGTAGACTAGTAAATCCACAATAAAGTGACCTGAAGCTGTACTTTATTCTTAATAAATCTTTGTATCAGATATCTACTGGATTATACAAGCTGTAATACAAATGGACAGAATTTTTCTTTTAATGTAGTCAAAAGGTAATTTTTTAGTCTTTACAATCATATTCAATCTGAACTCAATCTTAATAATCCAAGAATGCAATAAAGACCATTTGAATGTATATCTACTAGTTTACTTGTTCTCTTCAATTACATGTTTGGTAAACTGTTACTAATTTACAAAATTGACTCTTTATAAAACATGATTACCTTTCATGTGGATCATCATGACATAATTCAATATTTGGACGTCGATTACGTAAATCTAATCTTGTTCTAGCCACTTTCAGTGGTGCTTGTTTATCAGCTATACATCTTTTTAAATATTCCATATTCTTCTCAACATCAAATAATTCTTGATTAATCTAAAATAATGTTTAAAGAAAACAAGATAGAGAGAGAGAGAAAGAGAAGTGATGAACAGAAACAGTATAAAATACAAAATTCAATGATCTGAACAAGAGAAAATGTAATAGGAAACCAGTAGGTCCTGGGTTCGAACCTCGCAGGGGGCGAGGTCGTGGATGCGCACTGCTGAGGAGTCCCACAATAGGACGAAACGGCCGTCTAGTGCTTCCAGGTTTTCCATGGTGATCTCGCTTCAACTGACCCATGATCTTAACCATTGTAATAGGATGAGTTTAAACTTAAGACATTGAATATTTCAACAATTAATCGGTAATTATATACAAGTGCAAAATAATTACAACTAATTGTTTTGAGATGAGTATAAAGAATTACTGATTGATATCAACCATTAACATAGTTAATAATACGTTCATCGATTCATGGAAATTATAGATAGATCAATGTAAAAAAACAAAAACAAACAATGAAACAACTTAACTGATTATGATAAAACGACCTCGGAGAAAATGGACGACCTTTACACGTACGCATACACGAGTATTGACTACTAGTATAATAACACGATAAATTATCATTGATATTGATGCAAATAGACAAACATGGACAAAAATCCGATTAGGAAAACAGGGAGTCTCTAAAAGCATAACATTCAAACCAACTAGCAATCAAATGATATATCAAAATAAACTCAATCTATCAACTTATTCGAGAACGATCAGTCAACAATATGGTCAGAACTCAACGGAACAAACACAGTCAACTACAATACAAGAGAAAAATGAAAGCAATGAAATCTATGACGACAATAAACAAGACAATCAGAATAAGCTGATAGTTATAAATGAAATAACTATGAAGTTCATTTCTACATGAAGTAAGAGCTGATGATATTGTCTAAAACGGTAATAAAAGATTCGCAACTAAACCATCTAGCTTAGAGAAATCAATAAAAACTCCAAAACACTTTGATGTACCATAAGTTCTTTACGAGACTCAAATCTGTGTTTATTCAAAAATGATTTTAAAAAAAATGTTGTTTAGATGATTTTTGACACAGCGCTTACCTACAATCTTGAAAGAACTAATGCCATCAGTTGGATTCGAACTTACATTATCTAGCATCGTAACATAGTGCAAACGATGACAAATCACTTAGATCACAAAATAAATTGATCAGTAAAATATGATCAACACTAAGAACTAGACAAATATGATATTCGTCACTGTTTAGTGATCGACTAATGTTATCATTTCTTCACAACAGTTTTGAGTCGACGTATTAATACATATAAAGAAATTACCAACTTCATATTAAGTATTAAAAAGAAATTCAGCTTAGAATACCATTTTTTTAAAGAAAACTATTGAGAAATACTCTATGCTTAGAATAAAAACCGCTAATACTCTAGAACAAGATTTATTTATAGATTTGACAATTTTCATGAACCAACAAGATCGATTCAATGTCAACTGTCTTCTTGTTAATAAGAACTAGTCACTTTATAGAATGAGTCATTCAATTGTTCTGTGAAAGAAACTATATCAATATACTCTAACTGATGCCAATCGTAATTATATAGTGCTTGTATTCAATAATATACATATATATTCAATATTTGAAGCTAACTTAACTAGTAGTGTTTGTGTGTCTGTAAAGGTTCAAATCAACAATGATATTTGGTTTATAGTTTTTTTTGAGGACTGATTTAATTTGGAATCGACTTTCAAGAAGGATCGATATCGGTCAACATATCGTCGAAAACCAGGGAGCATAACATTTATTACTGATGATGATGACGATGAAAATGTATACCATTGGGTTCTTAAAAATTCATCTAAACGTATGGTGTTCACTGCTATTTAGTCGAACTCGTGAGAACGGCATATTGAAAATTTAAAAGTAGGTGGAAACAGATGTAAAGTATTCGTCAGTTTTCATGTGATTTCAGTTAGTAATGAAGATTTTTATTGTGATACTGAGAAATAAACGTACAACCTTCTAAAAGATATATGGGTCTGAAGAATGGTTGTTATTTGTATACTCATCAGCTTACTGGTCAGTGTGTATTGAGGCATGCTCTCCTTAAAGATGAAAGATGGTAAAATTGGTAATATCACTCCTTTTTAATGTTAAGATATGGAACTAGTTGTTACAGTCAACCCGAACCAGTATTATTATGACGTGTTTATATTGATTGAGCCTTATCACACTTCTATATCATCATAACATTCATAACATGACAATATCATTAGTCTTCAATTGTTCTGATTGGCTTCCTCGTCTTATAATATTGACACATATACTAATCTCATTGTCCTTTCTTGAAATATAAAAGCTCTCCTGAAAGTCCATCTCTTCACTTTTTTTCATGTGTGGTTGATTTTCAATAAGGGATATATATATCGTTCAATATACCTAGTCACATAGACCAGCCTTTGTACTTCAGTTGTTTTCAACAGTCTCTGTTTTAAACCTCAACAGTATATAAATCGTAATACTAATGGAGGTATTTAACCAGCAATTTATAAGTAAAATTTTAAAGCATAATCTTAACTACTTAAAAACTTTGTTAGCAGAAAGAGTGTTAATGAATTTAGACAATAGTCATGACGATAGTATAGTAATTTAATTAGTTAAATACCCTAGAAATCATGAATGTTTTATAATTTAATAGTGTTTTTTTCTATTTTTAGTATTTGCAGTAGTATAGAAACGACAAAAGATGATAATTAACATACTTTTTCTAATTGAACCTGTATTCTATTCTTAGCTTCCATTGTTTCTTGTATACGTTGAGATAAACATGCATTAGTTGAAGACCATAAATCACGTATTCTACTGAATGTTGCGCCTAAACAATGTTCAATTGCTTCACGAATAGATCGACTTGCTGCACGTTCAGCTTGGGAACGTTTTAAATTAGCGCTTGTGTGTTCAGCCCATTTTTCCGGTACACTCATCCTAAATATTCAAATATATGAGGATAGAGGTCACATATATATGTACTTAAATGTGAAAATAAGTCTAATATAATTGTTAGTACAGTTTACTATGAACTGCTTACAATTCACAATACACTACAAATTGCTTAACTGTATTGACAACGAAATAAATTAAACAAAAGATCATACGTAATGTATTTATCTAGAAACATCTGAAAATTAATTCAAGATTAAAGTTTTATCGGTCACATTTCGGGTACCATTGAAGACAAGATAACAATGGATGGGCAATTTGTCCTACAACTGGACTCAATAGTGGGGACATATAACTTCCATAAAAGTTGACCCCAGTACCTTCATGTCTCATGGCAAACGCATAACCATTAGAAAAAACAGGTACAGTAGAATTGTCGATGTGTTCTATTTAGGAACTCCATACTAGAACAAAAGAGTTATCCAGTACTCTTTGGTCTTCAATGGTCCATTAAATGATACCAATCTTGAACAAATACAACATAGAAATTAAACTGATATGGAATATGGTCCATTTCATCCATATCCTTAGGATTCATCTCTAAATTAACCGTGAAGCATATTCATTTGCCTCCATGCCATCCTCAGTTAATCGATTAATCAGGAAGAGTAGTTGATACATTAAAACAGACACTCTCATAGACAAAGGGGAAGGGGACGATAAGTGCGATTCCGGATAACTTTCTTCTAGCTTACCGAACAATGGCATATTCATTCAATTAGTTAGTCATTTGCAACGTAGAACTTGACACATGTTGATTGGTTCAAGTTGTCAAACCACATTAGCACAGTGAGATAAAATTATCAAGGTAGTATCTATAGTAATATTTATGGTAGAAAGACTTAAGTATAGAAAAGAGAAAAAAAGGAATGCTGAGATTTTCTGACTCAGATTGTAATCTATCACAGTTGAATTAGTTGTCATTTACTTAGTAATTTCCGTTGGCTGGGTAGATACACATAGTTAACAGATTCATTATGGTTATCTGACGGATTTAAAGCTTATCACACAATAAAATTGTATAGAAATTTTTTCTTGAAAAAGTTTATTCTATGAAACAGGGTAATAATAATTTATTTTTTAATATCTTTTTCACTTACCATTTTTCTAATTTCTCAATATCACCATATAATGCAATATTAGCCGATGAATTACGTAATTGATGAGCTAATTGATCCAATTGTAATGCCCTAAATTTATCTGAACTATCTTGTTCTAATTCATGTTGAACACTACGACATAAACTGGAAGAAGAAATTAACTAGTTACATTGAGAAAATGATTGAAAGATAAGTATGTGAAATTACAATAAAATGTTATTAATACGTTAGTTATTTGTATCCTCAGAATTAATGTTTCCTCTCTTGGATAACAATCTGCCATAGTCAGTCGGTTAGTTAGTCAGAAATAACACAGAGCCTGACACATATTTGCATCAGTTCAGGTTGTCACATCACATCAATACAACAAGATGAAATTATCAAGAAAAACAGTATGGAGTAGATTTATTAACAATGTCACTTGTGATAGAAATGATTGGGGGTGGAAAATATGATATGAGGAGATAGAATGAATCCATGGAATTAGATAGTGCAAGTTGATTTTGAAACTCAGAGTTTGGAGGAAGAAAATGAGCAAATACATCCGGTCCAGTGCAATCAATTCAGAGTCATGTCATTCATCGTCTTCAATAATTGGTTACGTTATTCATGCAGACCCTAACAAGATAATTTGATGCCATTTACATGACTGAGATCAACTATCAGTGACTACATAGATTGATACACAGTGGTTTGGTTGCTCATATCTTTCAACTTACTCCCATACCGGCCATCATCACATACAGAGCTAGACAGTGGCTGTTTATATGTAATAAGTGTTGCAAACACCTAAGACAATAAAAATTTACAGTTTTATCAATCCATTTTTCACTTTAAATAGTATGCTGCATTTTACTCCAGCAGTCCCCACTCATCCAAAAACGAAACTTGTGTTTAATCAAAACTGGGTTTTTGCATACCAAGGAGAGTTCTGATCAACAAATCATCATCAAATCTGAAGGGTGACTGTGAATTCTGTATAATTTCTGGGTGGAGGTGGACAATACTGTGGCACACGACATTTATGTGATCGAAAATAGTGTCATTTATTGGTGTCGAATTAATAGTCAATATTTTGCTTCACTTTTTGACTACTCACAAACTACAAGTAACATAAAAAATACAATCAAAGTGGGATGTGTTTGACTGTTCCAACTATTTTAATTGTCACAAGTTGAAATCATGAGTCAATTGAAGCTAGACCACCATGGAAAACCTGGAAGCACTGGACGGCCGTTTCGTCCTAGTATGGGCTCCTCAGCAGTGAGCATCCACGACCCCGCACCTCGCGGGATTCGAACCCAGGACCTACTAGTTGTGCATACGATTATAACGATGAATTCTTTATTATCATTTTGTGTATTTTTCACAGGGACCTGTGTGCAAAGATATTCTCGGCAACCTTCGATTTAAATTATTAACAGCTGGGGAGCAGTTGTCTATATGTAACTATTGTAAAAGCGTTTCATCTTCATTCTAACTACCCAGAGACTCCCTGGTCACATGACAGTTCAAATCCAATATGAAAATGAATCTAAGACTTGATCAAAACGAATATCGAGTGTTATCTGGTCGAAAATAACTCTTCGAATCCCGCGAGGTGGGGTCATGGATGCGCACTGATGAGGAGTCCCACAATATGACGAAACCGCCGTTCAGTGCTTCCAGGTTTTCCATGGTGGTCTAGCTTCAATTGACTCATGATCTCAACTGTTGAAATTACTACAATCTCCAAAAAACCCCTTCTTCAGATAGTGTTAGTTCAGTAAATTCTCTTTATATATATATCACACAAAAATATGAGTCATAATCTATTGATGTGACGGTAAATGAACAAGAATGTTAGAAATAGTCAAAAGTACATTATTTTTAGTGACAGTTCCTTCTGTTATTCCGTCACTGGAATAAACTTTTAGTATTGAAGAACAATATTAGTTTTGTAGATTTTATTTACTGAGACACAAAATAACTAGATATTCCTTACAGTGTAAATAAAGGAATAGTAATAAATTTCATCCTGTATATATAAATACATGTTTTCATATAATTTAGAGTAGAATATTGTTTAATCTTAATGAAAGTACATAAAAACAGTTTATTCAGTTGCTATTACTATAGAAGAGCGTTGTAAAGATTGTTAAATTTGATACTTTACATTATGGGTTGAGAGAAGTTAGACAAATATTTGAAAAATTATGAAGTACTGAACAACTAACTAATGTCTGATTTCCGGTGGTAATTTTTGGAATTCTATTGAGCAATCGTAATAAATGTAATTTAACCATGTTGAGTGTGAGGCATTTAAACACCGCAACCACTGGGAGATGGTAGTACAATATTGTTAGTTTATTGTAATTTAAAATGTAAACCAACTGAATCCCAACTTAGTACTCTTAAGATTAAATGCTCACCAAATGATCTATGATGAGGTTGTGGATGTATGTTGTTGAAGAGTTCCATACTAGGATAAAGTAGCTGTTTATTGGTTCCTGATCTTCAATACTAGTCAGAATAAGGTCAGTCTGTAATGTAAACTAAATGTTTTATTTGTGTCCGTCAACCATTGAGTTATTCTGTAGTTTATAAAACAGCGACCCTTGTTAAGGAATTCCTTAAATGCTAAAACGACTGAAGTATCAGAACAACACCATGGAACATACAATGGTGGAAACAATTTCAATCATAATTAATTTATTATTAGTTTAATATAATCTAAAATTTTGATACTATTAAATTCCAATAAATTTGTATCAATCTGTGCGTTCTTCCTTTATCAATACCAAAATAACGCCTTTAGTTAGGAATTCATCTAAAAAAAATATTGTACCTCTATCTTGTCACGTTCTGGGGTTACTACCTGTCTCAATCCTAGATAATGTAGGATGGTTAGACATAGGATTAACAACCTTATCTCGTAAAAACGAACCTTGCTAAAAATTGCTAATAGATATTATAAAACACTGTTCATTTTAAATTTGATCAAAAGTAGAGATGTATGGTGGCTAGAGGTGGAATCCAGGAAGCGCATATTGTCCTATTTGTGACTCATCAGCTGGATGTACCTGATAACCAGAGTTGATGTTCAATCTGAGACTAAAACCCAATGTCATATCGCGTTAACCACTTAGATACTGAGTCTAGATAACCGTTAGCTTGTGCTAAGTATAAAGTTTAATTCATTTTTGTATTGGTTATTTGAATCTTCCCACTGATGTTTAAGACTTCAGGTGATCAGTATCGAGACAATTTTCACAAGATGCACATATAAGAATAAGAGACTGATCAACTATTATCCTAAACATTAATGGGAAGATGCAAGCTACGAATACAGAATGAGTTAAGTCAAAAATGTTTATATCAAAGGATTTCAGTTAGCCATAAATAAGACATAATCTTTTTAATCTAACCAATGGTTTAATGACATTTTTTTATCAAGTGAATTTAACGTTTATATGCTAAATATTATTCATTATATACTTCTTAGCCTGGTTAAAATAGACAGTACAATTTTGTTTAATTGATATATGACAATTAGAATAAATGCCGTATATAGTTATCATTCATTGTAGGTTTCTATAATCATGAAAACATCAGTATCAGATTATGTGTTAGGTGAAGTATTGAATCTAATCAATCAATTTGCTATCCCTAGTTACACAATGAAACGTCTGTTTGTTTGTAACTTTTATGGGGATTCCATAGTTTTCTCTGACTTTTGATTATCAGCATAATAAAACTGATATATTATAATTATTGTGAGACAATAATCCCATAATTCGATAATTTTGTGCGCTACATAAACAATACAGGCTCTTTAAAGACAGTAATCCAAATCAGACAGACGAAAAGTAAAGAATAAAAAATACGGGATAAAAATTATTCCAATATTTAAAGAAAGATAAGGAATGAATGTAACTGGGTTACTCCGATGCATTTCAGACCACATCTGTCAACATCAAGCATCATGTCTTGAACTGTTGCATAGATCTCGACCTGCATATACGAGCTAGTTTAACAATAAGTAACTTTATGAACTTATCTTATGTTCTTAGTTTGTCGCCCATGATAACTTTCTCTTGATCTACTTGCACAGTACCCAGCAATTCGGTTTAAAGTCATCAGCGTGAGGTAAAAATCTACTTTTAATTTAGAAATATTATAAGTACCATAAAACATGCATTTCATATTCACACGAATTACATCATTTCTATTCATTGAAAAAAACCTATTTCTTTTTCTTCATGTAGAAAAGAATCAAAATAGACTTATTTCAACATATCATCACTTGAATGAATGAATTTGGAATAGTTAACAATAATGAAGAAGAAAACACTCAATATTTCAACAGGAAATTTGTAATTCTTTGCTCTTCTTCATTGTCAACTTTTAATGCTATAATTGTAGCTAAGCAACATAAATGAACTCAATAACCTCCCACCCACCACCGAAAATAAAATGTTACATACATATTATAACCAAAAAATAACATATATCTAGTAATAAACATGAGGTATTCTTTACTAATCATAAAATTTAATCTTTAACAGTGAATCGAACTATTGAAATATATGATAGTAAACGTGAAAATCTTATGAGATGGCAAAAAAAACAAAAAAACGGGTTCCTATGGCAACAGGAAGATCAAAGTAGTTCAAAGAGAATTTAATGATTTTATTATTTTTTGTTTTTGTTTTGTTTTGTTTTTAATGAGAAATAATATGAAATAAAATATAAAACTAATTGATTTTGTGAGAAAAAAAAACTTTTTTTCTAATATAACTTCGAATTCATTTGAATTTTAATAAGTTTACAACCACCACCACCACAACAACAACAAAAAGATTAATATGATTTATTTGAAAGTTACTCTTCTTGTATCTAGATATGAATATCTAGTTACTATTGAACAGAAACAATCTAAACATAATAATTTTGTGTATTTTTGATAGATATAAATAGATTAATGATAATGAATTTTGGACAATTTTATGATTGTAGAAATTAACATCGATCATATCAACATATATATATATATAATAGATTAAAAAGTTTTTTTTTCCTTTTAACCCAGGACCCTATTAATTTCCTGAAATCTTCCCCAATCTTACTTATAAGATATATTAAACATTGGAATTGATCGATATAATCAATTATTTCACTCAATATGATGAATCTAGGTGATGATGTAGATCAGTTTTGAAATAAATACAAAATGTTGTCTAAGAAGTGGCCTGTATAGGTGCCAATTTTAGTGACATGGACTTACTAAATTGAGTTTGTCGATCATCACAATTATCTTTGAAATTTCATCAGCCTTGATGGGTTGATGAATGACGAAATTTTGGCACGAATTCAGAAATACTAGTTGCTACTGCTAACTTATATCACATATGGCGTAGAAAAGATAGTCCCCTTCCAAACGAAGGGTAGTATACTGTGTAACTATCAGCTCTACAGTATTCTGTCTGTAAAATGAGGGCTTGAAAGAATATATGTGTGGGCAGCGCGATTTCGATCACAGGTATTTTGAAAGCATTGCTCACGTATTATCGAAAGACAGTTTAAGAAAGTCTGAGATTAGACGCACTGTACTAGATAAAGGGAGTAAATCGGTTAACGCGGTTAGAAACTACCAGTAACTGAGATGGTTGAGAAATGTCCAACCACCACCTACTTCAATGACCGATGTTAGTTGGTGTAAGAGTAAGTTGAAAGAAAGCTAAGGGCGGTCAAACCGAAATGTGGTATTAAGTCACGAGGTTACTGACTGCTGTTCTGAACTACGTGGGTAGATGTAGACTACCTAGCTGAGGATGCTGAGTGACATGGCCCATAAATCGTTGCAGTGGTGCACAAACACTCTCTTTATCTTCCTCTGGATCTTGAGTTCCAGTATTCCTCCAGACAAAACTTTACATTTAACCCTTTCAAGCCATATATCCAATGTTTAGTCTATCTCGTTATCATTCGTGCTACAGTTATTTAGACACCTTCGAAATTCATCTGGCTAACTTCAACTCGTCGTCCTAATCTGGTATGAGAACTTAAGCTAAAGCACATTTGTTCCAAGCTCTAAATTGATTACGATTGACTGACCGGCATTCATAATTAGTATATATCTCTTCTGATTGAATAAAATTTATCTTAATTGTGTGTATAAATTAAACTGAGTAGTTTATTACCTTTTATTCTTTTCTTTTGTAATTTCTCTCAAGTTTATCTATCATAATGACATCTACGTCTGTATAACTTATTTATTGGTACCCCATTACAGTTTAGTGTATCATAACCATACATGCATATGCATATATAGGAGATAATTTATTACTAATATGATAAAATAAATGTAAACTGCTTGTTTGTTTTAGAGAAAGAAAGAAAGAGAGAGGAAAAACGCGTTTATATTATTTCACAACAACAAAATTGGAGAAAAGAAGGCAAGAACTTCAGTAGATCAAATGATATCACCAATAGCAACCATAATCGATAAGTAGTTTTTTTTTGTTCTCCATCGTAAAATATTAATTATATTATAAATTAAAATGGTGGAATACTGTATTTTTGTCTTTTAACAGGATATTTTATGATGTATACATGTATTAATGAAATAAAAATGATTATCGGTCTTTTGTAGTAAATAAACGTTTTTATGAGAACACCTATAATGTGCCAGAATAGGTTGAAAAGAAATAAGAGGTGGCCAGACGAAAACTTGGTATTGGTCAGTAAATAAAGTCACTTGCTGTTAGACTAAATCATTTAGAAAAGTTCATATAACCTGATCAAGACTCTCAAGATTATCGTAACTTATTATTGAATATATTGAAGGTCACAATTCAAAATCAGCCACAGGGGCATAAATGACTTTACTGTTTATATTTCCTTAGATATTGAGTTTAAAATCTATCTGATACTTTTTTATTTGACTACTATATTCCTTCTTCTAGATTCATACTTTTTATACTAAATCTTTCCTATTACCCCCGATATTTCTTATAATTTCAATTATTCGATATCATTCTTGATAATTTATTCTCGACACGTTGACATGTTGTACCAACTTGAACCGATGTATATGCATGTTAGGTTCTGAGTTGTTTATCACTGACTGACTGACTGACTGAATGACCAAATGATTATGGAAAATTATTATAGAAAGGATAAAATATGACTGAGGAGACGAATAGCATGTTTAATATCCTGAAATTATCATTAATACTCTCAAAAACGTTCATATGTTCAGAATATACATTGTTGCTCAGTAAGTCTTCATATAACAAACATTAGATTTATATGGAATATGTTGTTTCTCGTTACTAGTACAACAAGAACCAAGTTTTGGAGGCTTTTGTTTTATAATAAAATAATTAACTTTCTTTTTGAAAACCTACAATTGTGTAAATATGAAGTCGAAACTGTTTGTTTTATCTCAAAAGTAGTAAAGCAGCCTTAACCCCATGCTAATGGCTTTCTTTGTTGATCAACAGAATGTAATCTCATAGTTTGCACAACAAAATGATCTTACTTCCAACATCACTGAAATCTAGGAAGCGCTGGTCAGTTATTTTGCCTCAGTATAGGACTTTATTAGCAGTGTGCATTCATGTCCACGACGCGTATCGAATCCAGGGCCCTTGGTCTCGTAGAGCGCTCTGTATCTCCGATGTATGTGCTTAACTTAGATCGATTCACAATATTGTCCGACAATCTTCCACTGACTGAGGTGGATATATATTCTCTCAGCTTCGAAACCTATTTGCTCCCAAAAGGTATGTAGTTGGTTTTATGAGACCGGAAAGACATGTGATCAGGCCTTCAACTCATTATAGATAATGAGAGCAAATATAATTTGACTTTGAAAAAAGTCGGTAATTTTGTCGTAACGGAAAATAGTTCTACACTATTGAAAAGTATATTAAGTAACCCGTACAATTTATAACCATGAAGTAAAATCAAATGTCTATAACAATAGACACAAATTATCATTAGATTATGATGAGCCTGGTGTTTAAAAGAAAATGGTCTTTATGAACGAATCTATGTAAGATAAATGTACATTTCAACAACATTTTAAGTTAACAACTTTCGTTAAATCCATTTGGAAACTAGTTAATATTAGTGAATAAACTGCATTATTGGTCATATTATTTAGCAAATTGACCGTATCTATTGTGAGACAGTTACTCACTGAAGGCAATGGCATATGGTCGCACAATATCATGAGTTGGTTGAAGTTAGACATCAACATCGTTGGATGACGACTCAGTGTTCTAGGGGTGAAGTTTTTTAAAGTCATGTGTTCGAGTCCCGCATGTGGGATCGTGGGTACAAACTGCTAAGGTGTCCCATACTAAGATGAGACAGCCATCCAGTGCTTCCAGGTTTTCAATGGTGATCTAACATAGATCCATTCATGATATTAATCTAAACGACAGAATATCGATTTATTGGCTGAACAGATTCATCTTGACTGATAAATCTACTGTTGGATGATTTAACTTAGTGTGAAACTATGGTTATACATAAATTGGATAGTCCAGTACACAAAAAAATGTTAACGTCAGCTCATGAAAAAAATACCTTGAAATAGATGAAAACAATTTCAACATAGTAATTTAGTAAAACATTTCAATACTTTGTTAGATTTGAATAATAAATTATTCTTTATAATAAAGGATAACATCTCTTTGATTAATGAAAAAATCCGATCTACTTGTAAGTAGTCACTATTGAATACAAATAAAATAATAATGAATTATCAATAATTGAATGAATAGCTTACCTTAATTGTGCTGTAGCACGATTTATAATATTTTTAATTTGTTCTTGACAAACTTTTATTCCATCAATTTCCTATGAAAAGAGGAGAAAATTTATTAGAATGAATAATAACAATATTATGGTAATGTAGAATTGTAGTGGACAAGAACACATGTGGGAACAATCGAACGTATTTGACACGACATTACAGAGCATCTCAATAAAATCTGAGAACCATGTAGTAAATAGTTAATTTGCAAAATATTAATCCATCGTCTCAAATTTCATTGTTCTTTTTGTAAATATCAGTCGATTGTCTCAGATTTCATTATTCATGCATTTTCATACCGATTGCGTTCCGTTTTCGTTTTTTCCTTATTGATCTTCTACTGAAATACATTCTAAACCTGACCATCGTTAGATAGTACTTATATGGATATAAGTAATCCACACCAAAGAATTATATAATATATATCAAACGGTGTTACACAAATATTGTGCATATCTATGTATATACTAATTAGATAATGATTTTAAATAAAGCCAGATACAACAAATAAGGTAGAATAATATGAAATCCATTTATTTCAAGCTTTCTTTTTAACTATTTACAATTGTTAAATAAAAGTAAAAATCTAATCACAATGGGTTTTGTGGAAATTTTTAGAAATTTCACTTGTTGAAATCATGAGTCAGTTGAAGCTAGACCACCATGGGAAACCTGGAAGCACTGGACGGCCGTTTCGTCCTAGTATGGGACTCCTCATCAGTGCACATCCACGATCCTGCACCCCGCGGGATTCGAATCCCAGAACGTACGGGTTTCGCGCGCGGGCATTTAGCCACTAGACCACTGAGCCGGCATCCAACAGTGTTAATGTCTAACTTCAACTAATCCAAGAAATTCAGCGACACATCCACCACTGTCTTCAGTGAGTTATTATCTCACAACATACCTGGTTGAACTCCACTGGTCATGGCTTCTCACTAGAACTCCAGGATATACCTCATGAAGCTAGTCACTAGTGAGCATAGTTCGAATTAATATCAGATGGGTTTTGCGGATATTATAGTAATTTCAATGGTTAAAATCATGAGTCAGTTGAAGCTAGACCACCATGGAAACGGCCATCCAGTGCTTCCAGGTTTTCCATGGTGGTCTAGCTTCAATTGACTCGTGATTTCAACAAGTAAAAATTCTAAATATCAAAGACATAAGATAAAAGGACAATTATCTGAAACTCCAAACTTAACAAAATGAATTACTTAGTAACCGTAAGAAACTCACAGAATTTACATCAATTAAAGATTTTTATAACTGGAAATCATCGACAAATCAAAGTGTACTCTATAGACGAATGAAAGAAAATTTTAACAACTTAAGCTATGCCATATTTTTATCTTGGATAATGAATACACAATACAGTCTTTGAAAAATCTGTCTTGGACATTTATTGTTTAAAGAACAACTATTATGTGTATAGAATATTACGTTAACTGTAATGTTCTTTTTGTTTTAAAGTCAAATAATGAATTCAGTATATATACTACTTATAAATGATAGCAAATATTTTGAAAGCCTAAATGTATAAATGTTCAAAAAATTGCTTTCAAATATTTTAAGCATTAAAACCTGACTTCTACCTATCGACAGCAAGGATTGCAGCCAATCACTAATTTTTGATATATACGAGCTCTGAGTGGATTACCTCAATATTGTGAGATATTCACAGGATATTGGGTTTGAGTTCCGGTTTGACTACCACTAATATCTGGGTACATCTCTCTGAAAAATGTCGAATAGGATGAAACGAGCGTCCGAGACTACAATGCTTTCCATTATTCAATACTAATCAAACAAAAATCTAATTCAAAATTCATATCATTATTATTGTAGCATATATATTATCCAAAAAGCTGTAATTAGACTAGTTATCAACCGTTTGGTAGAAAATGACATAGAATGGTATTAGTTGGATAGAAATACAAAAAAATATTCCCCATGGCAACATAAATACTTGCTTCATAGATAGACAGATATTAGGTAAACGTATAAAATGCAAAAAAAATTAACAGCTCAGCGATTAATTTGTTTTCATTGTGAAAATAACAATAATGGTAAACCGCATAAGATTGTTTGTACTTCACATTGATGTAAAAAGAACTTAACGCCTAACTATTAACTTTTTTTTGTTTTGTATGTAAAATACCTTAAACAGAATATGTGGCATCAAACTGTTCGAAATGTATTGTACAAATATGTTTTATATGTCTGATAACCTGTTTCTTCTAATTGTATTATCCACGTTTATCTAAGAGACTTATTATTTTAAATTTGTAGAGGTTGTCGAATTTTCTTTAGTTTACAACATGAAGTGACCATAGTTAAGCAACCATTGAAAACTAGTAAGTTCTAGAAAGCTAAAGACAGTTCGTCATGTTAACTAAAAACACTGGAATTACATGGGGAAGATGATTGTTTTTTCATCAAAGAAAGGCATATATTTGACTGATACCTAAGATTTCAGTAATATAGAAACATAATTTTAAGATATCTATTTACAGACTCTCGGAAAATAGGGTGTAAAAGTATATATTTGAAATTTCACACGCTCTGTAGAAACAAGACGTTAAACGAGTAACATTCTATGATGTGTTGAGTTCGTATCAAAGTGATAAATGTTTTTTTAATACCTCTGTACATTAGCTACATACTTCTAGTTTGGAGTTAGTATAAATTATTAACGAAAAATTATTGAAACATAGTAAGTTTTAAGGATTAAAATAAATGTTATTTCATAATATTAGATAGTGTTTAGTAGAAAAATTCAGGGTAAGTACTTCGTTCTATTTGGTATTCATCCTACGCCATTGGGATCGATTCTCAGCCATGCTACATGGAGTAGTTTAGTTTAGACACAAATACTTACATTTATCCTACTTGTAAAGGATAGAATCATTCACATAACGTTAGACAATAGCTTTTCTAAAATTATTGTCAAAATTATCATTCCAGTTTAAAATCTTAACATTAAGTTGTAATGATAATAACAATGACAACAATAAGAATTATAATAAAAATAATAATAAACATACAATTTTCATGACTAAAATTCCGGCAAACTAGAAAACAACTCAGACTAAAATCTATCAGTTTATGGGTTAGTGAAGATTGCTGAATTTCATGGTGGACATTGAGAATTTAACACAGTTCAACATATATTGAAAATCAAGAGATGATAGACAATTAACTCGTCGTAGTTTGGAACTCTTAACCAATGTTCACTCATAACTCTGCGGATAGTCAAACATAGAGTGAGCATGAGAGAGGGGTTTTGTGGATATGATGGTGATTTTAATAGTTGGATTCATGAGTCAATTGAAGTTGGCCGACTATGGGATATTTGGAAGCAGTGGACAATCGTCTCGTCCTAGAATGAGACTCCTCAACAGTGTGTGTCCACGGTCCCGCCTCGTGAGATTCGAACCCATGACGTATCGGTATCACGTGCAAACGCTTAACTTTTAGGCCACTGGGTCAGCTGGCATCGGACGGTGTTACTGTTTAACTTCAACCAGTTCACAAAATCGCGCCACCGTCCACCATTGTCATCAGTGATTTACTATCTCACAACAGACTCGGTTGAACTACACTGATCACAGCTTCTCCCTAGAATGCACACTACCGATGTGTTCCATACTAAGACGAAACAGCCGTCCAGTGTTTCAAGGTTTTCCGTGATGGTCTAGCTTCAATTTACTCATCAATTCAACTCGGATTTCTAGTAAGAAGCTGTGGCCAGTGTAGTTAATCCATGTCGGGTAGAGAGAGGTATCTACCTCAGTACAACAGAAGATGGTTGCGCAATTTCGTGGATTGGTTGAGGTTAGACATTAACACCGCTGGATGCAGGCTCAGTAGCCCAGTGGGTTAAGTGTTCTCGAGCGTGACTGAATGCCCCAGGTTCGAATCCCGCAAGCGGAATCGTGGATGCGCACTGCTGAAGAGTCCCACAATAGGACGAGATGCCGTCCAGTGCTTCCAGGTTTTCAATAGGGATCTAACATTAATCGGTTCATGATCTCAATGAGAAAATTAATAATCTCCATAACCCCTATACTGATAATTATTAAATAACAATAATATTTTGTTTTTGTTATAACCTTGGTCATATAGTGATATCATGTAATCCATGACTACTGCTATCAGTTACAATAATACATACTATACTATGTAAATGTACTGTACTGTTTACCTTTCTCAGTTTTTTCTTGATGTATAACGATAGTTTCAATATCATACTAGAAGTAATTGTTAGTTGTCCATAAATGAAAATAAATAAACTCAGTTGAATGCATAGCGTCAACTTAAATTGAGGCTTAAATCTGTGAGAAATACAGTTTTTCTCTCAAAAAATAATATTACAGTTATAACGTTAGTAATATGATAGTCATAGTAATAAATCATCAGAGGAGGACAGATGTAAAATACATTTAGTGCCCGGATGTTTGTACCATCTAATCGTATTTATTTTTGTTTTTATAATTGGCCTTCTAATATGTCATTTTATTAGAACAAAAATTTATTGAACTGGACAACCATCTTATATTCGGAATATCAGTTCACTGATGGCTTATTTAATGATTTGGTCTAGTGAACAGTAATTAATTAGCTACATTATATCAATGTATATAACCAGTTGATCAACATTTTATATTATAAATCAATTCGGAATCTATCCACTAATTAAATAAACTATAAACGTTCTTTATAATGGTTGTGGCTGCGGAGGAATAGACCAATAATTATCATGTTAAGTCCAATGGTGTCCTTGGACTTTAGATGGACATTTCCTATTGGTCGATACCTGTTCACTTGTTGAATATTGTACAAAATGTTGTTTTCTATTTTTATGGTACGATGTGGTATGCTTGATTGGTATATAAACAAAGTATGTTTGAAATATAATGATTCATATCTCCGAGGCTGTGGCTTGTCTTCTGGACTCAACTGACTGGGCTAGACAGGGAAGCGAGACCAATCGAGACTCTGGGCCGTCCGTTCGTGTTTACGTGTCACTGTAATCGATCGA